AACATATAACACGATATCTGAGAAACCAGAATACTCGTGACTCCGGAACATGTTATGCACATCTTCATCGTCTCGCACCTTTAACGGGAAAAATTTACATTCAACATGGCCGCCAAAAAACACTGGGTTTTTGTATATTATTTGCCCAACTGGACCACATTGCATTTTTTTCTATTCTTGACTTCAAGTGTAAAAAATTAGACCTTCTGTCAATTAAAAATCTTGTAACTTCAGTGTTTCTGAAATTGAAACCAGATAGTTCACATTGGAAAACTTCACCGTTAAGATGTGCCGAAATCATATATTGTGGTGTTTGAGACATAGCGAAAATTGTGTTTGAGTGTTAGAGTTTAAAGAGTTTAAAGACTTTATTAAATACTCTAAGTGTTTAAGTGTTTAAAGAGTTTAAAGATTTTTTACATGTATTCGTTTACCTTGTCACGCATCCGTTTACCACAATCAATGCCTTTGAAGCCAATGACATGCAGCATGCTTGATAAGACAGGACAATAGCAAAATTCTGCGAATCACATGTGACCCTGCATGCCTACATTGACCATGCAGGCCTACGAGATTCTCTTGCTGCATGCAGCATGCTTGATAAGACGGGACAATGTAAGAGTCTGCGTTTCACATGTGACTCACTAAAAACTCACTAAACAAACTATAATAAATATAAGAAAAACTCTGTGTTTCACATGTAACCATTAAAAAGACTCTGATAGTAAAAAAATTTCATATATGTATTGCAATGAAATCTATTACATGTAATCAAAGCCTTTGGAATCAATGACATGCAGCATGCTTGATGAGACAGGACAATGCAGCATTCAATGACATGCAGTCTGCTTGATGAGACGGGACAATGAAGGAATCTGCTTTTCACATGTGATCCTGCATGCGGCCTGCTTGATGAGACGAGATAATGAAGGAATCTGCTTTTCACATGTGATCCTGCATGCAGCCTGCTTGATGAGACGGGACAATGAAGGAATCTGCTTTTCACATGTGATCCTGCATGCAACATGCTTGAGTGTTTGACATTGCATCAGTACACTTGCCTTGCATGCGTTTACAACACACGTGCATCAGTACACTTGTCCAACATGCGTTTACAACACACATGCATCAATACACTTATCCGCATACATTTACAACACACATCCACTCGTGGAATATAAATATAGTGTCTTTACCCAGCAAACTCTGCTCACAATTAAACTCTCCTACTCTCAAACCCTCAAACTCTCATACTCTCTAATCTCAAACTCAAACAACATCAAACCCTCAAACTCTCAGACTCTCTAACTCCCAAAAACCTCAAACTGAAAGACTCTCAAACCCTCAAACTCTCAATATCTCTACATCTCAACATCTCAAACGACAATGTCTTTACTCACAATGGGCGACACTCATAGAGGCACGACTGAAAACATTGCAGACTTTGTAAGTTTTTAGTTCTTATCTAACGTTAATTATTTTACTTCTTGTCTAACGTAATTATTTTACTTCTTGTCTAACGTAACATTAATTATTTTGCAGGATGTATCAAGGTTTCGATGTCGTGTGCATGATTGCATACCATACGACCTGCTCATAGCGGGGTACCTTCGTAATTGTGAGTTTGGTGATGTGATCAAAATTAAATCTTACTCTCTCGATATGAAGTTTAATTCTAGCGTTGTTATAACGCTAGAGACCGGAGACACATACATTTCACCTACCTTTTGGTGAGTGTATTGTGACTCTCCAAGACGTATACATGTTGTTCGGCCTACACATCGATGGAAGGCCGTCAACGGCAAAGTTGGTGTCCCTGACCGACTTTGCAAAGATTTATTGGGTGCCCCTCTTTGCATGGACGCACCTCAGGAGGAAAGCGAGGGCCGCCCGAGGGGTCAGGGAATTAATTTAAAATACCTCAGAGAACAATACAACAGTATTGTCTTAACTGATGATAGCACCGAATATGACATAATAGTCAAAACACGGTGCTATATTATGATTTTGTTCGGTCACTTTTTATTTCTAGAGGGAACTGGAAATACCGTCCATACTATGTATTTACCATTATTACAAAATATTCACAAAGTGTGCGAATATAGTTGGGGATCAGCTGTCCTTGCCCATCTGTATAGCGCACTTTGCAAAACTTCCAAAAAAAATTATTGTACTTTCTATGGTTGTGTTTATCTCCTGCAAGCGTGGGGTTGGTCTAGGATGCCAACACTTGCTCCAATAAACCGGAATTCTTTTACATTCCCGTACGCCAACAAGTAAGTTTATTTTCAAGATTATTTAGCAACTACATTTTCTTTGTAAGTTAATAATTTGTGAGATGTATTTTAGATGCTAACCTATATGTGTTTATTTTTTAGGTGGTCTGTTCCAGGGATGAATTATCAGAGATGTCCCAGGAACTCTATAATTCAATATTGCAACCTCATAGACCACCTTGGGCCAGATGATGTAAGTCATTTAACTTTAATTTGTCTAACTTATATGCATAACCTTGTCTATCTCTGTCTGACTAAATGTATCCATCTTTATTGTAGTTTGTCTGGATGTCGTACGAGGGTCTCGAACACCAGCCCGACCCCAATGATGATGTTGTGTGGACATCAAGAACACCCATAATTAGGTTCACCACGGTGGAGATGCACCAAAGTGACCGGGTGAAGCTACAATTTGGGATGCATCAGGATATTCCAAATGCTCCGGTAGATTTGGGGCAGTGGCATCAAATGCGGGTGGACTCACAGTGGAGTGTCAGTGATTGAAAGGACTTTGCGAAGGAGTTGTGTGAACACTGGAAGAGAAGAAGGCAGCACGTCTTAACCGATCGTATTGTGCACGGGGCTAGGCCAAGTCTTCAATATATGACTTGGTTTAGGTCTGTCACGACATCTCAGCCTTTCCTGTCCCAGCCAACGTATTTGGTCGATCCAAGGGAACGCGCTTCTTCGTCAAACACACAACAACAGTCCAGTGCCCAAAATCAGCCTTACGAAAACCCATACATGCCAACAAATACCCCCTATCAACAACAACATTCTTACATGCCACTTACCCAGTCCCAACCTCAACCACCATACCATTATAGCCCTGATACGTCTTTTGAGCCTACCCCTTCCACCTATAGTCCAGACAACTCATTTCACCCTACCCCCTCTAACTACCCCTCCAACTACCTCCAACTACCCTTCCAATTACCCCTCAAACTATCCACTATTTGACTACCACACCCCACAACAACCAACACACCATTTACAACCCAATTCAATGTACGAATTCGGACAACCATACATATACTCCACCCAACCTCCCCGACAATCCTTCGAAAACATGGGCATTGGGCTTGACTACAGCAGCGCCGTTGACAATGGACCTCCCGGCTATTGGGGTCAAATGCTGCAAAATCTATCTGATACGTCGGGGCCGTCCCAACAAAACCCTCAGCCACAACTCAACACATAGCGACCAGACACACCACAGCAAACTCGTCGTAGACCTCGTCGCAACGCGCATCCCCCGCAGTGTGGCACCGATGGTCGCTTGGATAGAGTCAGTCATTATTTTTTTTTTTGCTGTAATTTTATTTATTTTAAGTTTTATTGTAAATAAATATATTTTAATATTTTTTTCATGTCTATATTATTTTAAGTTTATTTAAATTTTAATTCTTTATAAAAAACAAACAACATAATTCACTGACAAATATTCATTAATAAATAATTAAAATATTTATTAAAATATTATTAAATTTAATAATAAACTTAACATTATTATTATTTAAATATGTATTTAAATATTTGCATAATATAAATATTTAAATTTAATGAAAACTATATTTTAAATATGTATTTAAAATATTTACATAATATAAATATAAATTAAAACATAAAAAAAAAAAAACTGAAAAAGAAACCCTAACTACAACTAAGTCGCCATTTGCATTGGCGAATTTGCTTCTCCTTCTTCACTATCGTCATTTCAATTGACGAATGCTTACAATGCCATAACTATGATTTAACTAAGTCGCCATTTGCATTGGCGACTGTCTGTTGAATGTTAGTTAGTTTCGTCATTTTTCTGAATCTTTTGTCTAATTAGTAAATACTAAACAATACCTGGTTTATCTATAAAAAAATTCAGAAAAGGCAATGTTGGTGTAGCATGGCGACAATTTGAATATTATGGAAATTGAGAAACTGTATCATTTTTAACGGAGTTTTTTGTTCGAATTCAAATATATTTTTTAATATTAAAATCATAGCTTAAAAGTGGGTTTTAAATGAAGATAGTTCTTACTTCAATTGTAATTTTTTTTGCTTTTTGTCCGACTCTTTTGAGTTATTTGTAATAATTTTAGTTGGTCTGAATTTTCTCCCTTCTTGTTTTTGTTTTTTTGAAAAATTTTGTTGTATCAAAGATTTGAGTATCTCTAATACTCTCTTTTATAAAACAATACTCTCTTTTATATAACAGTTGCTTAAAAAAAATGCTTTTTTTAATTATAAAGAGGCAAGTACTAAATCATGCATTCTCATGCAAAAAGTTAAACTCCATCCCTTTATATAACAAAACTAAACCATCAATACTGAATCAGCACCCAAAAAATGTTATTACTTATACTCACTGAATATTACTAGTAATGCTAGTTTAGTTTATAAAATATTATTTATTGATGACTTCACATTCTCCACTCAACCCTTCAGAACCAACCAATTTTATAATAGAGCATTTCAGTTCTTGTGGTTGGAATTAGAAGAAGCCAAAGAAGTGAAAACTGCAGCCAAAAGGGTCCCATATATTCTGATATAGCAATAGAACCATTCACCTTTACACTCAATAAGGACTCCAAGTAAATATTATGATAGAAGAAAATACAAAGTTCATAGAAGCAATTTGATTAAACAAATATCATATTGTATACAATATGATATAATAATATTATTATTATTAAAATGCATGCTAGTTATTGTGTCTAGAAATAGTGACTAGAGCAATTGTTTAACAATGGCTGCTGCTATGATTGCTGCATCATATATATCAGCATTCTCATCAGTGAGTGGTGATTTTCCATTGAATCCATTCTCACAAGAACTAGCTTCAACCGCAGCATCATTTGCACCCTCTTCAGCAAGTTTAGGATCTCCTAGTTTCAAAGCAGCAATAGATTTTGGCAAATCACCTACCAAAATTGCACTGTATCTCTCAGCACACGAATTCAAAGCCTCAGTTTGAGCAGGTTCTCGATTCACCTTAACCAAATCAGTGATTTGGGTTAGGGCAGTGTTCAGCGCCGGGCCGATGCTGGTCAGCGAGATGACTGCAAGATCTTGTAGATTCACATCGGAGCTTCGTGGATCGGATTCGAGGGTTTTAATGCAAGTTGCGTATTTTGGAGTTTTTTTGCATGTTTGTTGTATCAGATTGGCATTGTGGTTTTGGGGGATGATGATTGCGCAGTGAGTTGCAGCAATGGTGCACAAGATGAGAGATAATGCTAGTGGATTCATCTTTGTTATGTGTTTTAGAATGGGAAGAGGAAAATTATGTGAAAATTGTGTAAATGGGAATGTGGTTATATATTGTGCCATGACATGATGATGCAATGAATTTATGTTGGAAATTTTTAGTGAATTATTGATAGTGTAATGAGTAGATGATAAGGTGTACTAAAATTTAATCATGATTACGAATGATTACAAGTATTGTTTCTTGCATGAGATTAGATGGTAAGGTACAAGTATTTAACTCAACTCATAACAATCTATATGGATTCGATTCAGAAATCGGATTTGATTTTTACAATCCGCAGACCCGTTAATCTAATTTATTGATGTTACTTTAATAATTTTTTATTATTTTTATTATTATTTTAAATAAAAATATAAAATTAATATCTTCTAATAACCATAATTTTTTCAAAAAATAAATTATTATCCACCAAAAATATTATTAGACCAATGAATTTATGTGATTCCAAAATTAAATGTTGTTTTTATTTTCGTTTGTATTATTTTCAATTTATGTATTTTATGAAAATAATTTGTCTTGTTGAATTTTATATTATTATTAAGTGTTATGTATTGAGTTGTCTTACATTTTTTAAAACCAACAAAAAAGAATCATAAAAAATATTTGTTTTTGTTAGAAACACACAACCACAAACTCAATTCAACTCAACTCTTAAATGAACAGATCGATTTTGATAATAAAATTGTAGGTTAGACGATATATTCAACTCGTTAAATTTTAAATAAATCCATCAATAACATATTAGACCAAACTCGATCTAATATAACCTATATATATATATATATATATTCATAAATATCGTGATTACTTTACCATAAAGGAAAAAAAAAAACATGCTGACACCATCATACCTTTACCTTAAATGTTAAAAACATCAGGTTTGTGCTTAGGGTGTAGCACATACTTCTTCTTTCTTAAGAATTGATGTTGTACTATCTTTAAAATGTGCGATATTAAAAACCGCTTTTATGTAAAATCAATTTTATTAACTTTTTTGTTATTGTAATTCATCACTTGTTTCTACCATAAAAGACTATTTTTTTTCACGATTTCAAGACTTTGCCTACTAGAACGAATCTACAAGATATCTCTTTTAGAATTTGATGCGGAAGATAAAATACTAAGAGTTTTATACGTTATCTTAGTTGCACACATTTAATATTTTAGTTCATTGGGGGAAATTTTCTAAATGAAAATACCTCAAGACTAGTGTCATAATCTTTCATAGAAAATTATTTTAAAAAATTTTAAGATTTGATGTTGGTTGATCTCCTTGGAAACTCCGGAGATTTGTGGGGATGAAATGAAAAAAATATTTCTCCGTGATAGGAATTTGGAATAGGGACTGGAAAAATTTTGGGGACGGGATGAGAAGTGGAGAAGCATCATTTACATATTATTTGTCCTGTTGACATTTTTATAGAGAAGAAAGAAGGTCGATTGTAACAAACAAACTGTAAACAGACAGTGATTTTGAGGGGAATTCGAGAGAATCAATAATCGTTTCCACAGACAACGCCATTGTTTCATGGCGGAATGAGAAAAAAGTGATGTTTAAAGAACGGTTTCTTCTAGTACGGTGGTGAGAGTTTGAAGTATGACAGAGCGAAGATGACCTATAAGATTAGAACTACAACACCCTAGTCAGTGAATTCAGAGAGATGTAATTTGAAGGTGATAGTAAGATATACATGTAAATGGCGTGTGGAATGACTTATACATGGTTAATGGTTAAAAGCACTTTCGTCTAATCCGATGTGTAATGTGGGGAGACGTCCGGTCAAATCTACTAATGAACCATGTACTAGTAGTTGTGATATGATGTCTGTCTTTTGACGATGTCCTACATATTTCTCTGTCTACTATGTCAGGTCTTCTTGAAACTTTTGAGCTGCTTGGAACATGTTACAAATAATTATTTGTGTATATGAATTTAATTTTCATTTTAGTTTTTATTATCTTTAAAATAATCAGTATAGGCAAATTCTGATTTTAAAATGTATAACTTATTTTTTCTTCGTCTTTATATATATATAAATGAAAATATTTAAATTTGGGGTAGTATCTTTTCTTCTATTTATAATCCACTTATTCCTTAGACTAATGCAATTAACCCACTTATTCCTTAGATTCCAGTGCATCCCTTGGCTGATTTGAAGGCAAGAAGAATAAGGATAGAGTCAGTTTCCACAAAGGATTTAACCAGTTATTTTGGAAAACTACCTTGATAGTTCTCAGAGCACCAAACAACTAAGAATGAAAGGTCAATAAAACACCTAGGTTTTCAAAAAACCAGCAACTAAATCTACAAAGATGTTTCTTAAAATACTCTTTTAAAAGGATGAGGTTAATGTTGAAGCACCATAAATATTGGCTTTCATCCATTTTAAGAGGGGGAGACCGGATGACAATTAATAATATATTTACTTTGTAGACATATGATGGTGTCATCATAAGACAAGGATATTATATGTCACAATGGATTGATAGTTAAAAACTTCACTTTTAACTATTGAATTAGAGATAAAAAAGTTTATATATCGATCACTATATCATTTAATTTTTTTTAAAACATTTTATTAAATATTTCTTTCGAGATATATTGTTTATTCAATTATTTAATATATTTTAGAATTTTTATTATTTTGTGTAGTGTTATATTTATGTGAGTCCTAAATAAAAGCGGCTTTGAAGTATCCACCTAAGAGTGATGTCGGGTGACATCTAGATAGAACAAGGGGGTTCGTCCATGAGACTGATGATGTGTATAATACGACTGTCCTCCATTAGTAAGCGGAGAGATAGTTCTCTATGATTCCCTAAAGAATAGGTGGCCTAACCCCTATGAATTTTCTAAACCTTAACCCCAAAAATCCTCTATAAATACCCCTTCATCAAGAGAGAGGGGACATATTTGAACAGAGACCCATATTACCTAAAGAACATCGCTTCACAACTAGCCTCCCACATCATGTGAGCAGGTTCCTTTAAACACCATCGTACAGGACTTCTCGCTACCGCGGGCAAGCCCTAACCACCACACAATGTAATATACCTACTAAGTCTCTAAGCATTCATGCCCTTTGCAAGGGTGACATGCACATATGTACTTTTTGACCAGTACATTGGCTCCCACCATAGGATCCCGATAAAACTAACATGTGTCACGCCTTCTTCATCACCATCACCCTACTCATTGTTACCTTTACACCTAGCCACTTTTGGCCATGGTTAACAGGAGGGCTACATCCCCTACTCTAGAAGGTACCAACGATAGGTGTAACACCTGAGACCGACAAGGGCGGAGAGTGGTCTCCGGTGCACAAGGCAAGATAATGAGTGACTCCTAGAAGTTTCTAGGCAAAAATCGAATTCACATCAAAATGAGAGGGATCCCGAGGATGTGCAGTTATGAGAATGCATGATTGAAGGAAAGCTTGAAAGGCTTGATTAATACTGCATATACATATAAAATGCATCTTCTTTTTAGTAGCCTAACAAATGAGAACTCCATAGTTAAGCGTGTTTGACTTGGAGTAGTATTTGGATGAGTGACCTTCTGGGAAATTTTTCGAAAAGCGTGCGAGTGAGGACAAAACATGCTGAAAAGAACCGTGTTGGTTTTAGGGATCAGTCGGTAATCATAAAAGTAGTCGAGGGTGTTACAATGGTATTAGAGCGTACCTCTTCCAATACGATATGGTTCCAAGTGTAACATGGTCGACATGTACACCCGAGGCCGGTGATGGCGGAGAGTGATCGCCAGTGCACAAAGCATGATAATGAGCGGCTCCTTGAAACTTCTAGGAAAAAATCGAATTCACATCGAAAAAAGAGAGATCCTAAGGCTGTGTAGGTATGAGACTGCATGGTTGATTGAAAGTTTATTAGGATTGATTAGTGCTACATATACAAACAAGATGCATCTTATTTTTGGTAGCCTTATAAATAAGAACTCCATAGTTAAGCGTGTTTGACTTAGAGTAGTATTTGGATGGGTCACCTTTTAAGAAATTTCCCAAAAAATGTGTGAGTGAGAACAAAGCATGCTGAAAATACACATGTTGGTTTGTGGGGTCAGTCAGTAATCTTGAAAGCAGTTTGTGGCGTTACAGTAGCGACCATGCAGATGCCTTGACGAAGATGCGTGCTACCATGGATGAATTATGCCATCATAATCAGATACAAGAGGATGATGTCCACAGCATTAGATAACGCCAGTAGGAGTCTAATCCTTTAGAGGATATGGATGTGTTAGATGCCCAACCACTCTAAAATAAGAAATGGAGAATGCCTGTCCTTGGGGGATTCGAACCTCTCTCTTTGGCCAAGTATGACGGACGCAGTGACACCTATGATCATGTCACCTCTATCAACACATAAATGGACATCATAGGAACGTATGACTCTCTAAAGTTAACATTATTGTCTAGAACTTTCAAGAACAACTCCTTGTAGTGGTATATGGTTCTACCCTGTGCCTCCATCTCTAACTATCAAAAGTTGATAATGAAACTTGTACACTAGTTTGCCACCAGCAGTCACAGGAAAATATCCACTACCAGTCTGTTCAATGTACAATAGGGTCCATCAGAGTCACTAAGGGACTACCTCACCCGATTTAACAAAGCCACCATCAGGGTCGTCCCACCAACCAAGATATGTATGGGGGCATTCTAAAATGGACTCAAGGCAGGACACTTTAATGAGTCTCTCACCATAAGTCAGTGCATTCGTTGTCAAAAATGGTCACTAGGGCGAAATGTTATATAAAGAGCGGGGAGAGCAACGCCAAAAAGAAGGTGTGTGATGTCAAAGGGCGCGTTCCTAATGTTGAGGGTTCACACCACCAAATGAAGAAAAATTATACCTCATCCATAAAATACAAGACTGTGTTCAAGAGAGTGACAAGGAGACAGAGAACTTCATGCACCTAAACACCCGTTGTGAATTGATCTTGCGAGAGGTGATCCGCTGT